GAGGTCTCCCAGCTGTGGGCGCTGGGGCCGGGCCAGGCACACAGCAGCTTCAGAAGGGCCTGGACTTCCAGGCGCCAGGTGGCCAGGGTCTCCGTGGAGCCCAGCAGGAGTGAGGAGAGGTGGTTGGCATTCAGGCATAGTGGGCAGACCCTGGCAAAAACAGCCAGGCCCTACCTTTTAGAATCACATGACCCTCTTGGCTCCTGCCTGGAAATTGGCATCCCAGCGTTGCATGTACGGGGAATCCATGGGCCATTTTGAGGTGAGACTGTCAGTCTCACCCTTCCTGTCCCTTTGGGACCCCTGTGGCCAGGTTCAAGCAGGCCTGTGGCTGGATGGGAGATGTTTATTTTGGTTTAACGAGCCCAGCGCTCTGGCTATATTTACCTTGTGAAGCTGCTTGCAATCTGATCTATCTCTCCCAGACTCAGCTGGGGCCCTGGGAGTCGCCTGCCAGGTTCATGAGGCCTGTGTGACTTTATGCTCCCTTCGCGTGGGGAGACATCCCAAGCGGAAGCATTCTGGAAAAAGCAGTGGCTTTATTCCTGGGAACAGTTTTCATCAGGATCCATGATTTGTGCCGGGTGTTCCCTTACACGGCCCTGTGGCATGGAACTTTGTCCCCAATGTGGGAACGGTACATAAAGAGCCAGACTGCGTGGTCAAAGTTCCAGGAACTGGAGGGTCCGGCGAGGGTGACAGGGTTTCTTCCGGAGCACGGCCACAGGCCCCTTCCTTTTCCTCCAAGGGCCCAGTGTCGCAGACCAAGCCACCCTGCCTCTCCCTGGCTCAAAAGCTGGGGGAAGGCTGGCCAGTTCTGGTGTCCCCAGGCCAGGTGTGTCCCAGCAGCTGCATCTGGCCCTGAGGCCTGTGGTTGTAACAAATGGTGTGAAAAAGGTGGCCTGCTGATGTGACCATCTGGCCAGGTATGGTTTGGGGTACACCTTCTTGTGCCCAAGGGTTGTAGCTGGAGCAAACAAGGCCCAAAATAGGGGTCTGGCCCCTCTCCCACCCCCAGGAGTAGAATGTGGGCATGTGGGGTCAGCTCTCTCCAGCCTGAGCTGAGGGCATCCAGGGGCTAGTTCTCTTCCACTTCAAGGCTGTGTTTTTCTTTTTAACTAAGACTTATTGAGCGTCTCCTGTGGGCCAGCCCTGTGTTGAACACTTTCATGTCAAGACCTCATTTCATCTCTGCAGCAACTGTCTTGGTCCATCTGAGCTGTTATAACAGAGTACCACAATCGGGTAGCTAATAGACAACAGTCATTTATTTCTCACAGCCCTGGAGGCTGGAAGTCCAAGGTCAAGGCACCTATAGATTATCAGCGTTTGGTAAAGGCTGACTTCCTGGCTCATGGACACCATCTTCTCACTGTGTCCTCATATGGTGATATGGTGGGAGGCAAGGGGGTCTCAGAAGCCTTTCATTGAACTTTTTAAAAAATTTTCTAGAGAGAGGGGAAGGGGGAGAGAAAACATCATTTTGTTGTTCTACTTTTATGCATTCATTGGTTGATTCTTGTATGTGCCCTGACCGGAGATCAAACCTACCACCTTGGCATATCAGGATGATGCTCTAACCAACTGAGCTACCCAGCCAGGGCCTGCAGCCTCTTTTATAAGGTAGCCAATCCCATCACGGGGGCTCCACCCTCATGATTTAATCACCTTCAGGGGCCCCACCTTCTAACACCATCACACTGGGGGTTAGGGGTGCAACCTATGAATTTAGAGGGGATGTTGCAAACATTCAGTCTATAGGAGCATAATAAGCATGTGAGGGAAATGTTCCTGTTCCTCCCTTTCCACAAGGCTTTAGGGCCAAGTGACTTGAGTTCAGATCTTTCATTCAACAGCAGTGTAACCCTTGGGACCGCCAACCTCACCTCTCTGAGCCTCAGTTCCTGCTAATAATCGTTGACACTTTATTAAGCTAACGAGTTTCTGTAGCGTAGTGGTTATCACATTCACCTCACACTTTATTAAGCTTATTATCTGCCAGATCTTATGAGGGCTTTATGTTTGTGAACCCTTTGACTCCTTACAACAACCATGAGAAGTAGGCCCCTGTTTTGTAGATGTGGAAGCTATGGCACAGAGAGGCTGGTATACTTGTCCAAGGTCACCAGCTTTGTAACTGGAGGACCCAATTCCCTCTTAACAGTCATATAGAGGGGGAGATAACAGGTAGGGGAGCAATATGCTCCCCCTGCCTGGCCCTCTTTCCCCTGCTCATATGTTCCCAGGGTCCAGCTCAGGGCCTGGGGCAGCCAAGCAGCAGGCTCTTCTATTTGTCCCTTCTCTGGTTTCAGGTTCCAGGGCAGCGGGCCAAAATATGAAGAGGAGGCCCTGGCTGGGTAGCTCAGTTAGTTGGAGCATCGTCCTGTACACCAGTAGGTGGGGGGTTCAATTCCCAGTCAGGGCACATACCTAGTTTATGGGTTTCATCCCTGGTTGGCGTGCATACGGGAAGCAATCAGTCAGCGTTTCTCTTTCTCTCTCCTACGGCCCTTCCTCTCTCTAAAATCAAGGAACATATCCTGGCCAGTGTGGCTTGGCTGGAGCATTGTCCTATAAACCAAAAGGTTGCAGGTTCAGTCCCCAGTCAGGGCGCATGGGAGAGGCAACTGATTGACATTTCTTTATCACATCAATGTTTCTTTCCCACCTTCCCTTCTCTCAAAAATCAGTAAGCATGTCCTTGGGTGAAGAAACAATAAAATAAATATACGTTGTTGTTGTTGTTTTTAAAGAGTCAACCAGTGAATGCTTAGATGAGTGGAACAACAAATCAATGTTTCCCTCTTTTCCTCTCTCTAAAAATCAATAAGTAAAAATTAAAAAAAAAATACAGGAAGTGCTGTGGGTGGGAAGGTGGCAGGAGGCAACCCTGCCGGAGGGTGTGTACCCCGCTTCTCCCCGTGGGCAGCCCTGGGGACAGAGACCATGGGGCCTTGGATGTGACCTTCAATTCACTGTGCCCTGGTGGCCTGCCCTGATGCCCCATATCCCATACATGTACTAAATTCTTGGAGTTGGCATTAGGCCACCCGTGGTCTTGAAAACAGCCAAAATCCTAATGGCACTTCTCCAGCTTTATATGAACTTGAAATATTTTGTAAACTCCTTGGCCAAAAAGCTCATACAATACTCAATTGTGGGAATTCCAGAACAAAGGTTTGTGGATCCCATTGAATTTGTGTGAAAGGTCTTATGAGTATATAAGCCCAGGCCTTCTAAGGAGGATGTTCATTGTCACCAGATGTGTCACTCAAAGGTGTTGGACCCCAAATCAGCTGTAGGTTGTGTGTACCCCTCCAGCTGAAGGAGAGAAATCTTAGAGGATTTCATATAGACAGTGGGCTTGGGGATGAGGTTTCTAAACTGAATAATAATAATAATTACTTATAAAGCGCCTTTCACTGAGGGTGATTTCTGTGCCAGGCACTCAGTCTGTTACTTTGGATTAACTCAGTCCTCACAACAACCCTCTGAGCCATGTGCCATTATTCCCATTATTATTTTTATTATTTTTTAAAGATTTTATTTATTTGTTTTAGGCAGAAGGGAAGGGAGGGAGAGAAACATCGGTGTGTGGTTACCTCTTATGTGTCCCCTACTGGGGACCTGGCCCACAACCCAGGCATGTGCCCTGACTGGGAATGGAACCTGCAAGCCTTAGGTTGGCAGACTGGCACTCAATCCTCTGAGCAATACCAGCCAGGGCCATTATTCCCATTTTTAGATAAGGAAACCAAGGCCCAGAAAGTTGGAGGAACTTGCCAGAGTGACAGCCTAATAAAAGGCAGAGGAGTTAGGTTCAAAGCAAGGGTGCTTGGGGCCTGTGCTCCTAACCACTGCCCCGCACGGCCTTTCCAGGCCATAGGAAGGGCGCAGAGGAGCGAGAAATGAAAGCGAACTGGGCCAGGCATTCCAGGCAGGAGAGGTGGTGGGGAAGGGAGGAGCCCACCGCCCTCCCCAGGAGTAAGTGGGGTCAGGGCAAGCTGGTGTGGGGCTGGTGGACATGTTTCAGCATTAGACCGTCCACTCTCTGAGTCTGGCATATAAGTAGTGAGGATTTTAGGAAGGGTCACTGTCCTAAGTGGTATTGTCATTGGTGTGCAGTTCTGGGCCCCAGCAGGCAGCCCCTGGCACTGTGCGCACCGCCTGCTGCTCCCAGCCCAGATCTGAGCAGCTTTACGTGGTGGCGATTTGCAAGGCCCAGGTGCGAAGCAGCAGGTGGCGGGAGCATGCCCCTGGTGACCCTAGATCCACAGGTCTCTGGGAACTGGGTAGAAGCTAGTGCGTCAGCTTTGGGGCCCTGAGCCCGGAACTGAGGCCTGGGGAGTAGATGGCCCCAGGGCTGGAGCCTGTCTCTTCTGGGAAGCCTCGTGGGTTTCTTGTTGGTTGGTGCGCTGGATTCTCAGAAAGGGCCTGGGCATCAGCTTCACCTCCACCCCCACCCCTCTGCTGGAGAATGGGAGTGAGGGGCCAAGAGGCAGGGGGTGGTGGGTGGTTGCTTTTTTTTTTTTAATGCAAACTTTTTATAGTAAGATAGACATAAACCCATTTTAACCATTTGTGATGGTTGGCTTTTAATGCCTCGCTGAGGGATAAGAGTGATGTTTGTTTGCTACTTGGGAGGTGTTTTCCGTGTGCCAGGGGCTCTCATGTGTTAAAGTGACCCTCTGAATGAATGTGATGTCCCTATTTTGCAAATAAAGTGGCGGCTCAGAGCGGTTCAGTGATATTCCCAAGGACATGTAGCTATTGGGTAGCAGAACTGGGATTCAAACCTAGGCAGCCTACTTTCTTTACTAGTACTTTCTGCAGCTTCTTAACCCCAAGTAGATTAGTCAGATGATCCCCATTATACAAATGTGGAAACTGAGGCTCAGAGAGACCACATGACTTGCCCAGGGTGCCAGAATTGGATGGAAGGAAAGCCTGTGTGGGCCATGATTGTCCTGGCTCTCAGCCCGCCTCTTCCCTACCCCCAGGTGGCGATGGTGGAGGTGCAGCTGGATGCTGACCATGACTACCCGCCGGGGCTGCTCATCGCCTTCAGCGCCTGCACGACAGTGCTGGTGGCTGTGCACCTGTTTGCGCTCATGATCAGTACCTGTATCCTGCCCAACATCGAGGCGGTGAGCAACGTGCACAACCTCAACTCAGTCAAGGAGTCGCCCCATGAGCGCATGCATCGTCACATCGAGCTAGCCTGGGCCTTCTCCACCGTCATCGGCACGCTGCTTTTCCTGGCCGAGGTTGTGCTGCTCTGCTGGGTCAAGTTCCTGCCCCTGAAGAAACAGCCAGGCCAGTCACAGCCCACCAGCAAGCCCCCAGCCACTGGCGGGGTCGCCAGTCACGACGAGGACAACCTGGGCAGTATCACCCCGGGCCAGGCTGCCGCCATTGCCTCCACCACCATCATGGTGCCCTTTGGCCTGGTCTTCATCGTCTTTGCTGTCCACTTCTACCGCTCACTGGTCAGCCATAAGACGGACCGACAGTTCCAGGAGCTCAACGAGTTGGCAGAGTTTGCTCGCCTGCAGGACCAGCTGGACCACAGAGGGGACCACCCCCTGACTCCCGGCAGCCACTATGCCTAAGCCCTCCTGGGCCTGGGCACTTCCTAGCTTTGGCCTTCTGCCCTTCCCCAAGACCTTGTCCTGCTCCAGCCTCAAGGACAGCCTGCACAGGGTGCGGGCTTTTGTCAAGGGGCAGAGAGTGGAGGGAAGGGGCTCTTTTTAAAGAGAAATAACTGCACTCTGAAACTATCCTCTAAGAGATAAGCACTTCCTGTTCTTCCAGCTCTGGGTTCACCTCTGTTAGGAGGCCACCGATGGGAGCCAGAGCCGGGACAAATGCTCCCTTTGTCCCTCCTCCTTGCCCATGCCAGTGCCATCTGGATGCTTCCTGTCCTTTCCGTCTTGACCTCCCTCTCCCCATTCAGTGTTGAGTGTGTGCGTGTGTGTGTGAGCACATAAATATACTCATAAGGGATGCCTCCTCTTGTGTCTGTATTTGTTGGGTCTGAGCTGCCTGGTATTATTTCTCCTGGTGCCTCAATCAGGTGAGCCACTAAGCAGATTTTTTTTCAACATTTTGAGAAATTTCAAACTTATGAAAAAAGTTGCATGAACAGTAACTGAAATAATATATGCAGTCAGTTCTTGTTATTCGCAGTAGTTCTGTTTTTTAAGATTACTGTGAACACTGAATTAGTGAATACTGAACTATTGCTCCTGTGGGAAGTACAGGGTTAGGGTTCCTGCGAGTCTCTGGTCACAATATTTCTGTCAACTGATCAATATATAACATTGTTTTATGTATGTTCCTATTTAAAGACACCTTATTTAATAGATATTGTTGATTCATTGGCATTGAACTCAGGGCCAGTAGAACTATCGCTCCTGCCTGAAGGAAGCTTACCTCCCTGGCGCAGCCATTTTCTCTGTAAGACACATCACGGCCTCCCTCTCAGGTACACTAGACAGTAAGCACGTCAGCACTGCGCTTGAGGACCGGTTTAAATGGCAAAATCAACAAAAAGCACAACACATAGAAAATGTTGGCACTAAGTAAACCGTGAAAAGGATGCTTATTTACAGTATGAGAGCTGAAATAAGGCAGAGGGTTTCCTTATTCAACCTAAGCTAGTAGGCAGATTTGGAAATACAGAAACCATGAATGGTGAGGATCACCGTGTTTTCTCCCCTTGAGCCGTATGCATTAGTTGCAGATATGACCCTTAGTGCTTAAATACTTCTCCTAAAACCAAGGACATTCACCTACATAACCACAATTCAGTGATCAAAATCAGGAAATCTGGCATTGATACAATACTAATAGAACATTCACATTCACTTTCCTACTTGTCCCAATCATGTCCTTTCTAGCAGTGATTTTTTTCCATCTAGGATCATGACATTGCTTTGAAAAGGAATAGCGTTGTCCTTTATGACATGGACATTTTTGAAGCGCCCAGGCCTGTGGTTTGTATTTAGAATGTCGCTTCAGTCTGGTTTCTCTGATATTTTGTCATTGTTGCAGTCAGTCAGGTTGTGCACTTTGGCAGGAATATTTGTCTCTATTTTGTGGAAGACAAAATTAATGCCCAAAGAGGTTAAGTAAATTGGCCAGAATTTGAAGCTAGAGTCTGGCCCAGAGCTTGGATGCTTGTAGAAATCTTACATGGCAGGGTTCTGGCTTTGCTTAAGAAATCAGAAAACCCAGCAGTAGCACTGGGCCCACCTTCTTGTGGAGCAATAATGAGCAGGATGGTAGCCACCCTCCCTCTTCCTCAGAACATGTTTGCCACAGTCTCCACTACTCCCTCTTGCCTTACAGGCCAGCTTCATCTGTGCTGCTTGCCTGGCCCCCATGGGCCTTTGAGTTTGAGAGCTCTGTCTTTCTTAGAAAGTGGTTTTATAAATACAAAGTGCTCTAGCTGAAGTGAAAGTTGGTGGGGCAAAGTTCTTGTCCTGTGCAGACTTGAACTGGCCAACAGCAGCTTTGTGGGCTGAGAGGGGAAGGGGGCCATCCTTTTTCCTATCGCAGCTTCTTGCCTCCCTCCCGCATCATATGTACCAGGACCCTCCCATCTCTGTTCCCGGATGGCCTGGACTGAGTAGGTCGATTAGGATAGGGTCAGGGCCCCTTTGTGAAACCATCCGCTGCTGCCCAGAGAAGACAAAAGGTACCTTCCATGCATCCTCAAGAGATACCGCCTCCCCACTTTGAGGGGACCTGGAATCCCGCTGGAACAATTTCTGGGCTGTGACTGAAGTCTTAGGTTTTCTTTCCTAAACTTCCCTGAACTTAAGAATCCCCAGATTGGCTTGTAAAACACAGATATCCAAGCCCCTCCCTGGGTATGTATGATTCTCTCTCATTTTCTTAATTGTATTTTTTTCCATTACCATTTGACCCCCCCCGCCCCCGATTCTGTATTTTTAACAAGCACTCCAGGTATTCTTAAACCCAGGCAACTTAGGGAAATGCTGGTAGTTAAGAACAGTCTTTTGAATTTCAGTTTTATTCATATTTTGAACAGATGACACATTCACATGGTTCCAAATACACAGTGAAAAGTTGTCCCCTGTTCCTGGTTCTCCCCGGAGACAACTGTCCATTGCCAGTTCACTTTGTTTCCCAGCTGGAGAGTGTATACATAAACCAGCACACAACCCCTACTGTTCTGAAAAATGGTACCCTGTTCACACTGCCACCTTAAGGGCAGACAAACTTACATGTAAGTAGAGTCACTTTCTAGGCGGTGACTTGTGAACATCCCTGGACTTGCTTCCTCCTCTAAAATGGGACTAGTAATAGAACATCACAGGTTGTTGAGGGGTCATGGGGAGGGGGACGCGAGCTGTCAGCATAGGACCTGGCACCTGAGCGAGCCCTCTGTGTCTGGTTAATTCTGTGTGCTGAAGCAGCCAGGCTCAGCTTCCTCCTGTCAGGTAGAGACCCCCATGGCGGGTCAGGCTACCCTGTTACGATTTAGAGGCAGAACCTCAACAGTGTCAGTGAGCACTTATTGAGCTTTTACTATGTGCCAGGCGCTTGGTGAGGCCTTTGAACCTCACTGTATGTCCAGGTTCCACTGTCAGGAGCAGGCCGAGTCATTCTTTGATAGAGTTACTACGCTAGCATGTTTAGCAGGAGCCCCATCCTCTACTCGCTAAGTGCCAGTGGCGTTTCTGCCAGCCCTGACAACCAAAACTGCTTTCAGACATGCCAAGTGCCCCGGGGGAGGAGGCGGGATGCCTTATTTGATCTTCACGGTAACCCTGGGTGGTAAGTACCATTATTGTCCCATATGAGGGGAGGAAACCTAGAGAACAGAGAGGTGGGCTGACGTACCCAAGAACACACAGCTAATAAGCCACGCTGGGTTCACACCAAGGTGATGCGACTGCAGAGCTCCTTTCCTTCATTAGGTAAGAGTTGCTCTCCTCTCGCAGGAATGTTATCTGCGTTAGAATTATGCAGAGCCCTCCCAGACACCTCTCACAATTAACCTCGATACATGTTAGTCATCATGATGACATCTGTTAGCAAATCCTCCAAACGCCCCTGTGGGGCCTCTGAAGTCCCATTTTACAGAGGAGGCACAGGGGTTACTTGCTAAGGGTCACAGATCCTGTAAGTCCGGAGTTCTTGGCTCCGTCTCTACATTGTAATCATCTGGGGAAGATTTTAAAGGCCCAGGCTGCACGCCAGTTGGATGAGAAATCCCGGGCGTGGATCCTGGGCATCAGTGGCTCTTAGAGCTCTCTTGGGATTCCAAAGTTGAGAGCCCTTGTGTTAGGCCAAGAAGCCAGGTCAGGTTTAACCCCAAATCCTGGGTACCAAATGCAGGCTTCCTTCTCTCTAGAGTATTTAGAAGTGCAGAGGCCCAGAGACATCTCTCTCCCCCCCGCTCCCCCACCTCAGGGTCAAGCCTGTCTCCTCTACCTGAAATCCCTCCTGTGGCTCCCTTGCCCCCCAAACCTCACTCCACCAGTCCCAGGCTGATGCCACCAGGTGCTCCTTTATTCACATGCACTCAGGCATAAAGTCCGAGAATGAAGGGTGTAACAAGAGGGTCCCCAAGGCCAGCTGGGGAGAGAAGCACTGGCCTCCCTGTTGGTAAAGAATAATCCAGTGCCGGGCAGAGCGAGGTGCCAAGGGTGTGCCGGAGTCACGGCGCACTCCTCCAGTGGGAGCCGCACCGGTCTGAGCAGTTGGGTGACGTGGGTTTGCCTTTCTCCTGAGGCTCTGGTAGTCTCTCTGCAGGGGTGAAGGGGTGGTGGGAGCTGGCGTTTGGAAGACACTGTACCAACGCCCTCTCCTTGAACCTCACTTACACCCACAGCAGGAGGAGCTAGGACTGAATGAGCCCACTGGACAGACGTGCAGGTGGAGACGTGGCACGAAGCACCCTACGGGCATTCGGGGCAAGCCAGCCACCTGGCTCCAAGCAGTGTTCTTCCCAGTAAGCCCAGGGTACAAATGGGAGGATCTGGAATGAACCGATCTTCAGTGAAATGAGCTCTAAAGGCGAGGAACCAAAAAGGACCAGCAGGACTGCAGGAGGCAGGAAACCTGCCCTCTCTGGCCCCAGTCCTGAACCCTTGGCCAGAGGAGCTGCCTTGCACGCACAGAGGGTGACGGTGGTGCCCATCCCCTCACCTGGCATCAGTCTCCTTGTTTTTCCTCTGTCTCCTTGAACACGGCCAGGGCTTCCTCCAGCACGTTGTCAGGGTCTAGAAGTTCGACCTGGGGGATTGGGGCAGCAGAGGTGGGTTTGAGGTGCACAGAAGTACTAGGCTGCCAGTTTTATGAGATGCTGCTTGCTTTTGGGGGTGCTGCCTGCCTCCCTGGAGATGCCCTGACTGAAAACAAAACCTTGTCTGTTCCCTCGTTGGACTGAGCTGGGTCAGACCAGACTGGGTGTGGCTGGGGGGTGCTCTTTTCTGTCTCTGGGTGTGGCCACAGCGCCCAGGCAAGAGCTGCCCACCTTTGGAATGGGGAACTGGGTGGGCTCAGGGGCCTCATCGCGGCCAAAGTCGACCATTGTGCCACACTTGGGTACGTCATTCACCCAGAAGCCTTTGAACAGCTGACCATGGTCCAGGTAGAAGAAACGCCCCGACCCGTTTTTCAGGCCTCGTTCCCAGGAGCCCTCATAGCGGTTCCCATTCTCTGGAAGGAAGGACAGAGGTGTGGGTGCTGGGTGCAGCAAACCAGGCCAGACTACTAGGCTGGCCACTCCGCCATGCCCTGCTCAAAACTCAAGTGGCCCTCTGCCACATGAGTTTTCAGGAGACCTGGCTCCAGTTTCCTCACCTAGAGCACCTACTATGTGTCAGGCACTGGGGAAACAGGAACAAAAGAGACACGGTCCCCGGTCCTTATGCAGCTCAGTCTAAAGGGACAGTGATACTAACATTATAGACAGTGTACTATGTGTCAGGCCCTATTTTAAGCACCTGACATAGAATCCCTGATCTAATCCTCATCACAGTCCTATGAAGAGGGTGCTACTACTATTCCTATTTTGCAGGAGAGGAACAGGCACAGAAAGGCAAAGTAACCCCCATGATTAGACACCTGGAGCTCTAAAGGAAAGGAAGCAGGTTCTGAGAACAGTGAGGACAATGTGCTTCAGGTGGAGCGGGCAGAGGAGGCCTCACCGAGGCGGAGACAATGCAAAGGTCTGGGCATTGTTTTCCTCTTCCAGGAAGAGGGAACAGTGGTGCAATGGCCCTGAGGCAGAAAGTGTGGGAACTGAAGGGAAGTTAGTTTGGCTGAAACCAAGGGAGTCCAGGGAGAGGGGCGGGAGGTGAAGCTGGAGGGGCAGGCAGGGCAGGACATGCTGGGCCCCCCAGACCTCAGGCAGCCTGCACTCATTCCGAGGGCAAGCGGGAGCTATGGAAAGGTGGACAGCAGGGCAGTGACAAGTCCCGTTTGTAGAAGGCTCCCTCCGGTTGTTGTGTAGAGAAGAGATGAAGTCCTGACGCCAATGTGGGCTTCTCCTTACTTTTTGCTGGGGAATACTTTTCCCTGGTTTGATGCATATCTGGTTCCTTCTCTTCCTTCACATCCCTGTTCAAAGCTTGCCTCCTGAAGGGGGTATTCCCTGACTCCTAATCCTCAGTCAATCTAAAAAGTTCCTGTCACCAGAACCTTTGTCATTCTCCAACACATTATTTTTTTTAAGGGGAATTCCTTAGCACTTTCTGACCTCACAACTAACAGACTGTGTGACCTTGACCAAGTGACTTAACGTCTCTGTGCCTCTGCTCACTTGTAGAGTGGGGCCGAGAGTGCAGACGTTATCAAATTGTAGTGAGGATTAAATGAGCTCAGGGCTCTGTAAGTGTAGTTTTGATTGTTGCGATCATAAGAAAATGCCTTAATTGTCCATATTTATTGTTAGGCTCTCCTTTTAGAGTATGAACTCCCTGAGGGCAGGGATCTGGTCCTGGAGCAGGGCCTTGCCCGGGTGCGACCTGATGGGGAGCAGTCAGTCACGGCTCAGAGGACCCGGGGCATGTGGGCGTGGCAGCAGAACTGGGCGTGGCCTTGTGGGAGTGACCGGCAGGCTATTGGGGCGGGGCGGGCGGGGCGGGGCGGGGCAGGGCACTCACTCAAGCGTAACATGCCCTCCCCGTCCGGCTTGTCGTTCCACCATTGGCCTTCGTAAATGTCACCATCGCTGTAGTACATGCGGCCCCACCCGCTGCGCTGGTTGCCACACCACTCACCTTCGTAATACTCTTTGGGTCCGAAAAACTGGATCCCATAGCCCTGAAAGCAGGAAGGTAAACCTGTTCATGGCGCCCCCACCACTAGGAAAGCCCCACCATCCTCCCTGCACCCAACTCGCACACCTGGGCTTCTTCCTCGCTTCCTCTCTTAGTCCTGCACCGCGTATTGAAAAATCGCTCCAGGCTGTCCATTTCCCTGTCCCCCTGCCACCGCCTTCGTGCAGGCATCGTCCTTTCTCCCCTGGTCACTGGTCCCTTCCTCCAACTCTCCCATTCTCCCCGCCGCCATGCATCCTCACACAGCAGCTAGAAGGATCTTTACATTGCCCATCTGATTATGTTTGCCCGAACTGTGATTTGACCCTATTAAAGTCACAGATGCCTCTGAGAATCAGATCAAAGCTATGGACTTTCTCCCCAGAAAAATGAACATCAACACCATGCTTAGCATGCAACCACAGAGAAACATGGACTCCCCGCAGGTCACATCTAAGGAGGCTGGTGAAGCAGCTCAAGCTTCCTGATGACCCCCCAACACTTCTAGGCTCACACCTACACCTCCTCTTACCCCAGCCCTTTTGGGCACACACACCTTGCTGACATATCCTTCCCTTTGTTACTTCTGCCTCCTTTGCTACTTCCCCTTCTCCTTTTTTACTCCAAGGTTAACTGCATTATTTTTTTTAGGTCACTTCCTACAGGAAGCTTGCCGTGAATGAATGCTTAATAATTTTCCTCTGGGTTCCCTGTGCAAATCTCTATCCTAACACTATATTATATGTAAGTTGTTTATTTTGAGGTCTCTCCCCCCACTGGCCAATACGCAATTTAAGAGCAGAGATCATGAAATCCTGGCCCTACCACTTGCCAGCAGGGTGACCCCAAGCAAGGCACCTCACCTCTCAGCTTGTTTCCTCATCAGTAAAATGGGGATGATGATGATGATGATGATGATGATGATGATGATGGTGATAATGATAATGATGTGCGTTAGCTGAACTACCATATCATGCTCCAAGACTGCAACGGTCATCGTTTAATATCAATTCTATATTTTTATGTTACCATGGCCGATGGTGAGGATTTGAGTGTTTATGGGTGAGGACATGCCTCTGGCTGGCTTCTACCCCTGGGAGCTGGGACCTTTGACCTTCCTCTCTTGTTCAATGGCTAAGGGTGTGTCCTCAGCTTTCTTGCTCCCACTCTTCTACCCTCCTCTTACCCTGGCCCAAGAGAAGGGAGATTCTCAGAAAGGGCTGCCCAGGGAAAAGAAAGCCAGGAAATGAGTGGAGGAGAAGGGGGAGGAGACTCCTGCCATCCCCCATCCCCCAGCCTGGCTGGCTTCTTGTAGCCACAGGGTTTCATACGCTCCTCCCTGGGCCCTCTCCTCTGGCTTCCTGTTTCCTGGGTTTTGTTCTGAGAAGCTTGACGAGTCCCCCACCCTTCCTTCTCCTACCCACACAGTACCTCTGTCCTCCCCTCAAACCCACTCCCCCCTTTTCTCCCAGGACTCTCTGACTCCTCCCCCTACACACACACACACACACACACAGCCTGCTTTCAGCTGGGCTCATGTCCCAGGGCATGATAGGAGCCACTCACCGATTTCTTACCACCTTTCCACCAGCCCGAGTATACTCTCCTGTACTTCCCTGTCACTCGGTCAGGAAGGCTGAGGGTGCCGTAGCCATCTTGCTTCCCATACTTCCAGTCCCCTTCATAGATGGCCCCTTTCTTCTTCCAGATCTGTGTTCCTTTTCCTGATGACACACAGATGGGCCAACACTGCAGACATGGCCACGTGGGGCTGGGGGGCATTCGCTGGGTCTGCCTGCGCCTCAGGGGCCCCTAGGCTTGGTGATTCTTGAGGATTGGGGCAGGGTCTACGCCTCATCTCTAGACCCCCAGCGCCCAGGAAACCCCCAGGAAAGTTCCATTTCTATAGACGGTGGTTCTCCAGACTTTTGCCTTGAAGCCAGGCACACATAGCAAACCCCAAGTCTGTTTCATCTCTTAATAGTACGGGACTGACCCTGCAACCCAGGCGTGTGCCCTGACTGGGAATCAAACTGGCGACCTTTTCGCCTTGTGGGACGACAGCCAACCAATTGAGCCGCACCAGTCAGGGCATTATTGCCATTTTACTGATGGGGGACCTGAGACTCAGAATGGTGTAGTGATCACTCCAGGTCATAATTGGTGGGCCTAAGATTCTCATCCAGCTTTATGGACTTGAAGGTGCTCAATGCAGGAAAGCGCTCAATACAAGAGAAAAGAATCTGGAATCGCAAGACTGGAGTGAAAAGTCATGCCACCTTTTTAAAATAAAAACTTTTTTTTCTTCAGGTCTTAATTTGTATCACAAGGACCCCTGTGCCCCCCAGTGATTAGACTCAGAGCCCATCCCTGGTGATGTCTAAGCCCCAGCTACTTGGGGAGCGAGGGCCCTCCTTTGCCCCCTGTTGGTCAGACCCCATGTCAGGGCTGAGTGTGAAGACCAGACTCCCAACTGCAAGCTGGTTTCTGCCACCTGCCTTTCCCTCCTGGTAGGCGGCCCCATGCTTAGCACAGGCCTCTGAGGATAGAGATAGAGACAGAGCTGAGTCCCCTGAGCCCCGGCTGGGGCTGGGGCTGGGGTCTCAAGACGGCTCTGTGTCCTGTTGGTCCCTGAGACTTTCTCTCAGCTGAAGTCAGGGCTGAGTTCCTTTCCGGAATTGCAGCACGGAGAGGCCCCTGGGTGGTCCAGGTCAGCATTCACCCCTTGGGGGAGCCTGGGGGACGCATCTCACGTCCCCAGTGAACTCGGAAAGCTGCTTTCTTGGCCCAAACCCCACACTTGCCGCCCGAACCCATGAGGGTCCCCCACTCACCGTGTTTCGTGTTGTCCTTCCACTCGCCCATATAGCAGTCACCATTGACAGCATACACCTGGTGCCTTGAGCCGTTCTTCTGGGCCTTTCGGTCCCATCCCTTCCACAGGGGCTCTGACTTTTGTGGGCTCTTGGCGACAGGCATGTTGGCTGCTTCTTCAGGGCCAGAGGGTGCTGGTGAAAGTCAAGGGACATCAAGGGCTCAGTGTGCCCCACATCAAGCCAGGGTTCGGGGGCTTCTGGGAGACGGGGGGTGGGGGGGGGACGTACCTGTCTGAGCTCAAGCAGAGTGAGTCATGTGTGTTGTGAGTCCTTAGGGGGGCAGATGAATTGCCTTTGGAGGGGATCCTTTTGTGCCGGACTGACCCTGGGCTGCCTCTTCCCTTGCTTTTCCATGGGGGCCTTTGGGGGAGGAGGGTGGGGCCTGATGGCACAATTACTTGGGAAACCAGGGAAACCAGCCAAGCAGTTGGGTTTGTGATGGCATCAGGGAGAAACTGTCCTCAGGCAGGAGGTGATGGGCATATGTTTAATAACCAGTACAACCAATCAGAGTGGATGCTGGCCCTGAGGCTAGCACTTGGCCTGGAGCCCCCCACGGTGAGCACCAAGATCCATTTCGGGGGAGGGGGAGGCTGGGGTAGCCACGCCGCTCTGGGCCGGCAGACAGCTGCCGTGGCACAGCCCACAGGGACACCCTGTTACACACACACCGCCCCTGTACCCAGCACTTTAACCCCCTTGGTCTCGCATCGTCTCTCTGTTAGATAGAATGATGAAAAAGTCCAGAGGCTGGCTTTGCAGGGTTTGCGAGCTGTCAAGAGAGCCCACCAACAAAAGATACTGTTTCTAGGGTGACCACCTTGTCCCCATATGCCCAGGACTGAGGGATTTCCTAGGACTTTGAACTTTCAGTGCTAAAACTGGGACAGTCCTAGGCACATCAGGGTGGTTGGTCACCCTTCCACATCTGACCTCTGCCCCCTGCCTTGGTCCTCTACCTGTCTGCCTCATCACCTGGCTAGGTTTCTCCCTCAGACCCAGCTCTCCTCCCCACCCTGCCTGGTGGGGTTGCAGAAAGACTTTGGGTGGCCTTGGGCTTGTCCCTAGTCAGGGAGCCCCTGTCTGTGCTCTTCATGTCCCCAGGCTCTCCCGGGCAGACATTCATGTCTACCTGTCTGTCTCCATGGGGCTGGTGCCAGGTGATAAAGGCAGTCCCTCCCAAAGCTGGGGATCCCTGTTCCTCATTAACAAATACTACCTATTCCACCCCGTGGGCTTGGGGAACACACACATACACTCACACGCACACACACACACACATGTGCACACACCAGCAGTGCTAGCAGCTGGGGCTGGAGTGAAATATTTGACCATGAGCACGCAGAGCTACTGACCAATCAGACAATGAGAATGACCTCAGAGCTGAGCAGATTCCAGGAGATCAGAGCGTCCCAAGCATCCACCCACCCGGGGCCAGCGTCACGGGTATGCAACCTGAGCAGTCGCGCCCGGGGCCCTGACCTCAGGACGGCCAGTGCTCGCTTTCCTTCTCCGTGGTCACTGTTTGGAAATTCTCACAGACGCTTTCTGAGCAGGGGCCCTGTGTTTTCCTTTTGCACGGGGTCCCGCCCATCGAGGAGACCTTCTGTTGGGCTACAGCAGGGGCCCCAGGGGTCTGCCCAGGCTGATTAACCACACCGCTGGGGCAGATCCTGATGATCAGGCCTAGAAATAGGGAAAGTCACTCCAAGTAACGAAATCGGCAAGGGCAAAAGCTGGGAGGGGGGAAACAGTCTCAGGTCCTAAACTGAGCGTTTTTCTTTTTTCTCCCATTTCCAAGTACTGCCTGTGTTGTGTTGAATCTTGATATTTAAATGAATTCCCCTTTACAAATAAATACATTTATCCAAGAAAGAGACTTTACATATCATTACTATAAATGGAAAATAAGTGTCAGGTACCCGGAGGGGAAGGTAACTGTAAAAAGGAAAATACTGAAAGAAACCAATGTCTTAGCTAGATTGAGATTAGCAAGTGTTCAGAAAGGTGTTAATGCCATATTGGCCCCGAAATGACACTTTCTCCTTGGTTTACTTAGGATTGTGAGAGAACCTAGAATCTAAAAACTTTCTTACGTGGTCATGGGGGTGTTACACCCTCATCAGAGTATTACAAACTCAACCAGGCGGGTGCGCCAGCCGGCACTTTCGGGAGCATGGGTTCTACTCAAGCGGTGGCTGAGGACTGAATACATGAGCTACTGGTTGGAAAAGAAGGCTTTTCAAAGCGGTGCGCAGGCTCTGCCTGGGTTGTTTCAATACTGAATAATAATAATTACCGCCCGTCCCGAGCCCCCGCCCCGTCCCACCTGCGCCCTCTCACCTGCGCTCACCTCCCGAGCGGAGCCTGGATCCGGAGTCCTCAGGCAGGATCGGAGGGGTCGCAGCCTCCAGTCTCAAACGCAGCCCAAAGCGCGCGCTCCGGCGTCCGGGGCCCTCCCCTAGCTCCCCAGCCAGGGTCGCTATGGCAACGGAAGGCTACAGCACAACCGTCTGGCAAGTGCCCGCCCCTTCCTGCGGAGATGGTGCGCTTGCTGGGCTGCGCGTGGGGACCGGTGCAGTTCTTCCCGCGTCCGGGGAAAGGAGTCTTCGAGCCGGTGGAGACTCGGCTGGTGCACGCTCCTGGTGGTCGAAGGTGTGCGGAGCGAGGGTCACGTTGTGCGCAGGGAGGTTACGCCCTTTCCATCCCCACCCGCTCTCGCCTGGGGTTCCCCAGAGCAAATACAACGCAGGAAACAGGCAGGAAAGGGTTAAAGGCGGTTCTGCCAAGATGCAAAGTCGAAGCGGCAGAACTTGAAGGGAAAACCGACGTCACCGGGGTTCTTAGTCTTGTGGGGGTTTGCTAGCCACCTTTGAGACTCAGAGGGCGGTTTTGGAGCCCTTCCGACCCTGGAAGATGCATACATGTTACATGTTCACGAGTAGGCCCAGGCCACCCCTCAGCTCACATCCTCCCAGTGGCTCCCCTCAGAGCGAAAGCCGCAGGCCTACTGGCCTTTGAAGCCTGCTCCATCTGCCCAGCTCCCGCCCCTTTCCTCTCTGAACTTCTCCCCCACTCAGGGCACGGGGCTGCTGCTTCCATCTGCAGTCCTTCTGAGGACTGTTCCGAGCCCCTGGAGCCACTTCACTGTTTGGGCAACAAAGTGGAAGTGACCAGGAACTGACAGCCCTGAAGGGCGCCCCATGGAAAATGGTTGGTACCGGAGAGCGAAGCCCTGGCTTCAAGGCTGCTTCACCTCGGGTGTCGCGTTTTCTCTTTTTGCCTTTTTTTTTTTTGCAATTCTTTTTGTTTATTGTGGTAGTATATACATAATGTAAAGGTTACCATTTTAATTATTCTTAAGTGTACAGCTAGTGGTATTAAGTACATTCACAATATTGTGCAATCATTCACATTCTCCTTTTCCAGAGCTTTTCATCGTCCCAAACTAAAAGCCTTGTGCCCATTAAACAATAACTTCCAATTCTCCTCTCCCCCAGCCACTGGTAACCTCTGTTCTACTCTCTGTCTATAAATTTGCCTATTCTGGGTGCCTCGTTTACTAGATTCATACAATATTCATTGAAGTGTAATTTTTGCTCCTGTGAGTGCTTCTTCATTGCTTTGCTCCTCACCCACATTGGAATGAGAATTTTGCTCTGATTTCCACACTTACCACATCATTTACAGTTAATTTGTTGAGTGTGTCTCTCTCAGAGATGGTTATTAATGGACACAGGATTTCCACAATGTATCTTGCTCTACCCAAGGTTCTTTTGGTTGCAAATAAAGACACCGTCTCATACTATCCAATAAAGAAAACTTACTAAGGACACAAGGGTGTTGGAAAGCTGTCAACAGCAAAGCCATCATCCCCCTTTATCTCTGCCTATCTCTGTCTACTTCTGTCTATATCTCTTTATCTCTCTTATCTCTCTCTCCTTCCTTGTTCTGATATTCATGGTAGAAAATAGCTGCCCCTATATCACTTATTAGTTGGAAATTAGTTGGCTCTTTCTGAATTCTGATCCCTAATTCCCGAGTGGCTTAGCTAGGGTCCCAAGTGGCCCCTGGCCAGTCATGCTGCTGACACTGTTTAGTTTTCCTCCTGACATTTTCTTCTCTTCCTCAGGTACCTGGCCAGCATTCCCAGCCAAGTAGGTCAAACTGTTCCTTGGCTTATGGCTTTGTCCAGAGCTGCCCTGCTGCCCACTGAATGGTGCCTCATGGCCTAGAATCTTCTTTCTCCCTAGACCAGGCTAAGACACAGTCACAAGCCTCAGTCCCTCTATTGCAAAGACTCCCTTCACAGCCCCTAATTAGGCCCTGGGACAGGGGGAGACAGGACTGTACCCTAGGGAAGAATTTGGAGCAGGTTAAGGCTTATCTATAAACCAGCTGGGAGGGCAGGTCACAAATCTATAAGATTACTTTTTCTATCGGGTCAGAATCTGGTATCATTATTCACAAACTCCTGAGTGGATGCTGTGGACTAGAAACTCCCCAATACTGATGCATCAGGAGCATCCAGCTTGAGGGCTCCTGTCCTAAATACTCTTCTCGTAATTACTTGCCAGATTTGAATGACTGGACTTTGGCTGGGTTCCTCTCAAGGACCTTGTTTGCAGGACGGGGTGAAGGCAGTTCTCCTGTGTAGTCAATCAAAAGATGAATGGATAAACAAAATGCGATCTATCCATACAATGGAATATCATTCAGCCATAAAAAGGAATGAAGTACTAATACATGCTACAACGTGGATGAACTGTGAAAATGTTATCCAAAGTGAAAGAAGCCAGACACAAAAGGCTATATATTAGCTCCGGCCGGTGTAGCTCAGGGGATGGAGCACTGGCCTGCAAACCAAAAGGTCACAGATTTGATTTCTGGTCAGGGCACATGCCTGAGTTGGGGGCCAGGTCCCTGTTTGGGCGTGTATAAGACGCAACCAATCACTTGCACTTTAATGTTTCTCTCTATTTCTCCCTTCCCTCCCCTCCCTCTCTCTAAAAATAAATACATATTTTTAAAGGCCACTTATTATATGATTACTCTTATAGAAAACATCCAGAAAAGGCAAACCTGCAGAAAATAGATTAATGGTTGCTTGGGGAGTGGGGAGGGAGAAATACAGAAGTGATAGTTAAAGGGCAGAGTTTTGTTTTGTTTTGTTTTGCAGTGATGAAAATATTTAAAACCAACTATGGTGATGGTTGCACAACTCTGTGAACAGACTAAAAACCACTGAATTGTGCACTTCAAAGGAACGAATAGTGTGGTATGTGAATTCTCTCAGTAAACCTTAATCTCTGATGCAGGATGAGCGCCCTCTAGGGGCTCCGGTGTCGAGAGCGAGTCTTAGGCCATTTCTAGATTTTGAGACTTCTGCTAAAGTAAAAATTAGAAAAATGTCTAAAGAGAGTAACATCAAGTGTGTTATGGAAGTGTGGCTTCCATTATTAAAATACACATAGAAAAGTAGAAATATCACTGTATGGCTTGATAGACTTTTTAAAAAGATTTTATTTTTAGAGTGTAAGGGAGGGAGAAAAAGAGGGAGAGAAACTTGATGTGTGAGAGAAACATCGATCCGTTGCCTATTGCATGCTCCCAACTGGGCACCGAGGCATGTGCGCTGACCATTTGAACCAGTGACCTTTTAGTTCGCAGGCCAGTGAGCCACACCAGCCAGGAAGAGCTTGATAGATTTTTGCAAACTGAACACACCCTTTTCTGGGACTGTCTCTCTAGGGGACAATGTCAAACGTGTAAACTTGAGTCCCTTCATATTTATGAGGCCACTTCGGAGTGACTCTGTAGGACCCCTCTTTTCCTCTCCTTTTTCTTCTTTCCTAATCTCTACAGTTATGCCATCAGGGAGATGGGTATTTAATATTTATTTATTTATATATTTTTATTTATTGATTTTATAGAGAGAGAGGAAGGGAGAGATTGCGGGGGGAGAGATCAATTTATTGTTCCACTTATTTATGCATTCATTGGTTGATTCTTGTATGCATCCTGACCAGGGATTGAACCTGCAACTTTGGCATATGGAGTCAATGCTCTAACCAATTGAGCTATCCAGGCAGGGTATATTTAAATTTCTTAAATAAAAACAAAAACTCAATTCTTCAGTCACCATAGCCACGTTCCAAGTGGGCACACCTGGCACCTGGCTACCATATGGGACAGCGGAGCCACTGAACATTTTCTTTATCATAGAAAGTTCTCCTGGGTGCACTGCTTCTGAAATCTCTGTCTTCTAGGTTCTATCCCTTCCTTAGGAAAGTTTCCTTTTAATTCTCTATGTCCACCCCAAACCTCTTTCTTTTTCTTTTAATTGGTTAAAAAAAAAATGCTTTGTCAGAACCTAACATAATGTCTGCAGGGGTAAGCCAGTGGAAATTACAGTGTTTGAAAATAGTTGTTAGGCAAAGAAACACGATAATAAATCATCCGAAGGAAAAATTCACAGCCTCACTAGCAATTAAAGAAATGAAAGTTGAAACAACCCTGCCATGCCATTACACACTGTCTAGACTAAGGAAAATGTGTAGAAGTCATGGACTGTGATACGGCAACACTGGGGAAATAAACGCTGTTACATTTTGCTAGCCATCCTGGCCATTAGCTATTTCCTCCTGAAGAACCATCTGGAACTGTGTTTCAGGAACTATAAAGCCATTTTCTGATTGAATAATTTCACTTAATAACTACTTTTTTATGTATTTATTTAATAGATAGCTGGTGTGAGGCATACTATTGGTACCTTACATACTTTAGAAAATATGTATACTTTTCACAACAACCCTATGAGGAAGGTAGGGACCTTATCAGCACTTTTAAAATCAGCAAACTCATAAAACATCCACGGGGATGTAAAGTGCCGCGCAGGGAATACAGTCAATAACATTGTAATAACTGTATGTGGTGCCAGGCGGGCACCGGAAATATCAGGGGGACCACTTTGTAAGTTATATAAATGTCTAACAATATGCTCTACACCTGAAACTAATATAAAATAATATTGACTGTCTACTATAATTGAAAAGTAAAAAAAAAAAAAAAAATTAAATGAAAAAAATTAACAAACTCTTAGGTTCATACAAGCTAGGTACCCTGTCTGGAGTAAATGAGCATGGGAATGGTGATGGAGCCAGGATTCAGTCTCAGACCTCTTGACCTAGGCAGACTTACCCAGAACACCACTTTGCCTCTCATTTTGAATTATTGCCTCCTAGGGAATGGTAGAATTGGGGCGGGGGAAGAAATTTACGCAAACGTAATTATTACAATCATTGCAAAAGGAACATCTGGAAAAGGCACACAGGAGACAATGTAAATTGGGCCTGGCACATAGCAGGCTCTCAATAAATGCTTAATTTTCAAAAAGCAATTAGTTATAAAGGCCTCTGGCCCTTTAAAAGTTAGAAGCGGATGAAAAAAGAGGCGGGTTCT